CTTCCGCCGTCTGGGGCGGCCGGCCAAGGACAGCGAGGGCAGCTCAGACAGCGACGCCGACGAGCTGGCCGCGCCCTATAGCCAGGGTCTGGACAACTGAGAGCGTGCCCCGCGCGCCCAGAGCCGGGAGGCAGCAACCGCCGCCGCCGGCGGGCGCCGGGGCAGTCCGCGGCCAGCTCCTCCACCGGCCGCTCTGAACACACTTCATGCCAGGCAGCGCACAGAGGGCAGGACCCGGGCCTGAGGCGCCTCAGGACCCCCGGCAGGCTGTCCCTCCCCAGCAGTGTTTACCCATCTTGGTTGTACCGCTCCGGGCCCTCCTGCGCTCCAGGGTGCTGAGGCCAGTTACCTGCAGGGACTGCCCTCTTAACAGTGAAGGCTGGGGACCGAAGACCCAGGGGCACCAGGACTGATGAGCAGGAAGCCCCGTCCTCCCAGCAAACTTCCTTCTGGGACAAGGGAGGCCCTGCTGGGAAGGGCCCAGGAGCTGGAGGAGGCCTGAGGAAGGAGGGGCAGCTCTGGGCTGAATGTTAGCACCCCACGATGCTCCTCACAACACGGTCATCCTTGACCAGCCCTTGGCTGCCGGGGACAGATGGCCAGGCTGGGCTTTCCTGCCTGGTGCAGGCATAGTGGCCCCTGCAGCAGAAACCAAAGTCCCCCCTACTGTATGCAGGGCCACCTGGGGTGTGAGTGGCCTGTGGGAACCAGCCCGGGCCTGGGCAGTGTTTTCCCGCTTCTCTGGGGCCACAGCAGCTGCAAGGAAGTAAAGAGACCCCTCTCCCCAGCACCCCACATCTTCCTGTGGGAGACACATCACCTCGTCCTGGCCAGTGCTGGAAGGGTACCCTCTCTATGGGGGTTCTCAGCCTCCATCCACTTCCCTCCCTTCCTGGGTCCGCAGCCCCACCCTCAGGCCAGGGCCAGGCCCCAGGGAAGCAGCTTCTCAAAGGAGTTGGCTTCCCTTACCTTGTGGTGGTCCCGTGGTCTCTGCTGAATCAGAGCTGAGAACGGTGCCAAAGTCCAGTGAAGCCCCCCAGACCCCTTCCTCCCCCCAGCCCCTGGGGCCTCATGACCCTCGGGGCAGACCCTCTCGGTGCTCCTGGAGCCTGGAGTAGGGTGATGTCACAAGCAATCTCCCTGGCGCTTCCAGGGGTGGGGACCCCTGTTCAGTGCCCCCTTCCTGGTCACCCACTCTTCAGTGTTACAAAGCCTGGGGACCAGGGCAGACACCGTCAGGGCTCTCCCACGTGCCCCCCACACTGCCCACCACCATTTTGCACACTGTCTGTTCACACTCCACATGTCACCCAGGCGGGAAAGACGGAAAATAAAGTGTATTTACACAGTCACGGGCAAGGGGCACTGAGTGGGGCAGGCTTGGAGTGGGGGACGCACAAGCAGCCCTGGGTGCCCAGCCCCTGGTCCAGCAAAACAGTGCTGACAGTGTGGGCTGTCTTTGATCTTGGAAGCTTCCTGATGGAGTCAGGGGTGGGAGAGAGAAGAATGGCATTCACTGGCCCAGTGTGAGCAAGGGCGTGGGAGTTGGAAGAGATTAGTATCGGGGTGGGGTATGATACCCCACCTGGGGGACTCAACTTGGACCTCCCCTGAGAGACATGGAGGAATGCCGAATCCCTAGGCTTCAGGAAGAGCAGGATCTCATTGCAATCATTCAGCACACACTTCAGAGGCCTTCTGGGGTGCTCTGCACTGTGCCTGCTGGCTCTTAGAGACCCCCAGTGTAGTGGAGGAGACAGGCATGTGGGTGGGGATGTAAGCTTGCCACTGATGTGGTGCCCAATAGACAAATGTGTGGGGAGATCAGGGAAGGCTTCCTGGAGGTGGTGGTGTTGGAGCCTTCTCCAAGGGCAAAAGCATAAAGGCCAGATGTTGCAAGGACCACCAGGAGGCGTATCATGCACCCCCAAGGAGGAAGAACAAGAGACCCTGGGCACAGCTAGACCAGGAGGGAGCTTCACAAATCATGAACGAGAGTTTGGGTTTTGAACTGAAAGCAGTGGGAAGCCAGTGGAGGGCTTAGGCGAGAGGGGTGTCATCAGATGGACCACAGTGTTGGGGGTCAGTGAGGAGGTGAGGGCACAGAACAAGCTGAGCCTGGATGTGGGGACAGTGGGGGAATCCCTTGGGAGAAGAGGTCCCAAACATGCAGAGTCCTTTGTGGGGCTCCCTATGGAGCTGAGACAGAGTCCCAGCTGGTGTGTGGGAACAGCGCCAGGCAAAGCTTCCTGGGAGCAGAAACATAATTGGGTGGAGGCAAATGCCAGCCAGGCCCTGCCCTCTGCACCCAGTGTGGGGCCACTTTGTGGCTGCCTGATAACTGCTGAGCAGGAGGGCACCACGCCAGTTACACACCAGGTCAGCCAAGTCCCACGTACTGTTCCACCATATTCGATAGCTCCTGTGGCCAAATGCACCATTCCCAGCGTACAGAGTTAACACTGAAGCCCCCAGCAGTCACTGTCTGTCCCTCATGCTCCCCTGGGGTAATTCCGCCCAGCTCGTCCCCAGGATGGGCAGGCCACGGAGAAAGCCTGAGGTTCTGCACTGTCCTTCATGGGGGTTGTCCTGAGGTCCTGGCTTCCTAGCATGTCAGGATTCAGTCTACCATCGGGCTTGTCTGAGAGTCTGGAAACAAGGACGCTGGGGACCCCACCAGGGCCCAACTGGAGACACCTCTGTGGTTTGCCACAAAACTCAGAGCTTGAGTGAGGGAGCATCCTGGCCTCCACCACTGGCTCCTGGGGATGGAGATGGCAGCGCCCCTATGGGACAGGGCACATTTCTCCTTAGACCCTAGGGTGGTAGGCAACAGCATCTGGGGTGGCCACAGGGTGAAAGAGACTGGGCCCAGGCACAGAGACAGGGCTGAGGGCCCAGTACAGCGTCCCAGGCTGTCCTTTTACCCACCTGGAGCTGTCCATCATTCTTGGTGCCAAGCAGGAGACCCTCGAGTTAAGAGAGACCTAGAGGGTGAGCTCCCCACAAGGACATTTGGGAAGAGGGAGGGCCTGCGCTGTGGGAGGAAGGGCAAGGAATTCTGAGTGGAGGAGGCTAGTGAGGATGTTGGTTGAGGATCTGAGGACAAGCAAGGTAAGGAACAAGGCAAGAATGCCCACGGGGCCGAGATGCACAAAATGGCACGGTGAGGACGACTGGAGAGGAGCGTGCGGCCTGAGGACTTCCCGGTCTCCCACCCACCCCTGGGAGAGCCCTTTTCTTCCCGGGCCGGAGCAGTCGGGCCCCTCCACCCGTGGAGGGTCCTCTTTAGGAGCCCCAGGCCCAGCTGCTGGCCTGCCTTCTGCACTGCAGTCCCATCGTTGAGCCCGGGACTGGAAGAAAGCAGGAGGAAACAGAAGACGCCGACCACCGCTCCCTCGGTCTCCGCCCACACAGAGTTTCTGCCTCCAGGCCTGACTCTGGAGCGAGTGGGACCAGCGGCCGGGCCCCTCCTGCGACTAACGTTTCCACCAGAAGTCGGACACGAAGAAGGACAAGTTCACGCACATGGGTGGGTGCGCGGCGCCGGACGGCGTGAACTCGGCAGGACCCAGTCCTAGCCCCACCTCGCCGTCTCCTTTTCCGCAGGAGAAAAGCCACACGGTTCAGCCAGAGTTCCGACCTGCCTCCAACAAGGCCTAGCTGGCCCCTCGCGCCGCTCAGCCGCCCGCTTTGCGCGCGGGAGACCCCCAGCCCCGGGGCGACAGCAAAGGCGCGAAGACTAGAGTGTCCGGGTTTTATTGAAAACTCCGGCTGCGTGGGGTAGACAATATACGGGACACGGAGCGGGGCCCGAGGGGGCGGGGGCGTGTCCTAGGCCAAGGGGGTTGTGGCTCGAGGGTAGGGCCTAGGCCAAAGGTGTGGGTGGGTCCCGAGCCTAGGCCAAAAGCAGCGGTGGAGCCTGGAGCAAAAGACTAGGGCTCTAAGGAGCTAAGACCAATCCACCGAGAGTGGGGGGTTCCAGAGGAGTGGGGACGGGGTCTAAGACAAAGGGGCATAACCGTAGGGGCGAATCCTAAGGCAGGGATGGGGTGTGATAGGCGGGGCTGGGGTCCGGCTCAGTGAAAGGTCTCCACCTCCACTACCGTCCAGTCACCCTGTGGGGAGGCCACGTCGTCAGGGGAGAAGCTGGTGACCGAGGTGATGCTGGCACGGGACTCGTCCAGGGGAGACAGCAGTTCGGCCCAGCGGCCCAGCTCTGCGTCACTGAGCGCAGCCCGGGCACCCCCTGCGACTCCACCACCCTCCGCACCCCCTGGACCACCGCCGCTGCCGCCTGCGGCACCCTCGGCCGCCGCCAGCAGTAGCGTCCGGCTCAGCAGGTGCTGCACGACGCTCGCCTGTAGCGCCCCCAGCGGCAGCTCGCCCAGGCGCGCGGACTTCGGGCTCCGCGAGGACGCCCCCGCCCCCGCC